TTACACTCAGTGAGGCACCACATCACGGTTACACTCAGTGAGGCACCACATCACGGTTACACTCAGTGAGGCACCACATCACGGTTACACTCAGTAAGGCACCACATCACGGTTACACTCAAAAGCACCACATCACGGTTACACTCAAAGGCACCACATCACAGTTACACTCAAAGACACCACAAAGGAATTATGAGTCCCTTAAGCTTGCCTGTGCACTTTACCAAAAGACAGTATCATTCTATGCCCCTGAAACTCAGAGAATATTGCCACATTTATAGACATTTAATTCAAGGCAGAATTAATGTGTTAAGCAGAAAGAGGTAACACGAGTGATTTTTCTGAGATAGGAAACCACCACCCTCCAGGTTACCCTCAAGTAAAAGGGAGAATAGCAGGTTAACACAGCACGGAGTGCTCTGGATCCAGACCACCTGGCCGTGGGCGGATTCCCACCCCAGCACTGGGTAGCTGTGCACTTTGGTGAAATTACTTAGGCTTACTGTGGCTTGGTTAATTATTTCATGTGTAATGCGGATAACAGCACCATTCTCACAAGGTTAGTGAAGGGGTATAGTTAGTCAGTGCATGCTCCTGGCACATAGTAGGTGCTCAAGGATGATAATAGGTCTATGATTATTATTATTATTTTTTATTTTTTGAGACAGAGCCTCAAGCTGTCACCCTGGGTAGAGTGCCATAGCATCACAGCTCACAGCAACCTCTAACTCCTGGGCTCAAGCGAGTCTCCTGCCTCTGCCTCCCAAGTAGCTGGGACCACAGGCGCCCCCCACAACGCCTGGCTATTTTTGGTTGCAGCTGTCATTGTTGTTTGGCGGGCCCGGGCTGGATTCAAACCCACCACCTTAGGTGTATGTGGCTCTATGATTATTTATAAGGCATTGATTATGTAACAGGTACTACATTAAGGTACCTGAATGAACATCATGTTTTTAAACCTCTTAACAACCATAGGGCTTAGAAATTCATACGATTCCCATCTGATGGACCCACTGTGGTGAAATGGCTCACCCAACCACACTCACCCACCCAGACTCAGGACCAGGAGTCTGAGTCCCAGGGCTGTGATTCAGGCCAAGGAAGGCGCTCTTTCCATAGTGTTATTTGAAAGGAGACAAAACAAAACCCATATCCATCTCCCCTTAACACTAGGCTCCCAATCTTCTTTGTATCTCTCTCTACAGATTTCACAGTGAAGAAATACTGAAGGGAAAAGTCCTCTTTGGTTTTTCCAGAATACCATTGACATTCTTACCCTACCCTAAATATTAGCTTCAACAATAGGTCCCTCCAATGTTAGATTCTCGTGAGCCGTGCAGATGATGCTTACCTTGTATTATGGCCAACAGAATGACAATTACGAAGAAGAAGAAAGTGATGTCAAAGATGATTCGGTAGATCTCATACTCGTCTCCCGCGGGGTCTTCAATCTCATCCCCGATGCCCCCGCCAGCACGTACCCCCACATACATGTGGAACATGTAGCACTGGAAAAGAAGATGGTACCACTGACTGGGGGACGCATGTGGGAGACAGAAAGGCCTATCTCTCAGTGGGGGCCTCTTCTAAATCCAGGGCAAAGTGCTCAGACCCACCATCTCTGGGGGCTCATCAAAACGACGGAAGATGAAAGGAGCCCAGAGGCACCCCAGATAGGGCAAAATCCTTAGGACTTTGAGAATCAGCAGGTAGGTGGGGCTGAACCCTTTGAGCAGCGGTTAAACAAGAGAAGCTGTTGGCCTGCCCTGCAGAGACGAAACTTGTTTTCTCCTCCTCTTTCTAAATATGTTATCGGCCATTGTTGTCAACTCACTGCCCTATGTTCCCCGTCACCCAATCTTCCTGGGGGCTGGGGATTCTTTCAATCCTATTTTGGGAATTTTGCATGGACTCTTCGTGACAGAGATCAGGAAAGGTTCCCGAGGAGTTAGAGAGTGGCTGCACTGTCTCAATCTGCCACGTGCCACGCGAGTCAGTGTCCACCTCTCTCCAGGCTTCCAGACTTCGCAATCGAGTTGGTGTAGACTCTCTCTATTTCTCCTCAGTGACCTCTCCCATGTTGATCCCCAACTCAGGTCAGGGCCCACAGTGCACCCCAACAGACTTGGCCCATTTTTATACTCAACACACCTGTTCCTCTCTCTGGAAGTGATGAGGATATTGACATTCTTTTGTGCCTCTTTGGGTTCCAGTATTTGTAACTGTCACGCAAACAATTGGCTCTCACTGGCTACTGTGTTTTAAACAAAACTGTATCCTGCCTACTCTGCTTGGCACCTCCGTCTCAATTTGGAGAAAAAAGTCCCTCACTAGTATCTCGGCTCTAAAGCATCTGGGATAATAAGGTATCAAGCCGTCATGATTCTTATCACCCTGGTGAAACTTCACCATCAGTAGCTTTGTGTGTGAAATCTCTGAGAATTCCTCTGGGGACTTAATTTGGACACTATGCCTGGCTCTAGTCTGGTACCTCTCCATGTCCAGCTCTGGTCCCTTGGGTCACCATACCAATACCTGCAGTGAGTAAGAGTGGATCATGCAGTGCCCAGTGCAGGTCCCAGCATGTCCTCGCTCTCCATCCCTGACTGTCTGAGGTATTGGGGAGGACAGCACTAGTGACCAAGATCATTCGGCTAATTTCTCTTGCTGTTTCCTGCTAACTGACTTTTGTTTTATAATTGGGCTTCCCATACAGAATTTTTCTCCAGCAGAGACCATGTCAACTTGTGTCAACTTGTTGTTTTAAATCTTAATAAGCTGGCACAGAGAATCATACATCGGATGTATATAATACCTATCGATGTGAGTCTGTTCCAAAAAGAATGATTCACTTTTAGTTAGATATGTAAAGTTGAAGATAAAACCTTGGAATGAGGCCAAATTACCAAAGATAATGTCTCCTTTTCAGGTCTCTTGTCAGTCATTTACCCAGTCCTTCTTGGTAATGTCCCTATCTCATAACTATAATTTGTTTTTTCTTTTGAGCCAGGGTCTCATTCCGTTGCCCAGGTTGGAGTGCAGAGGCACAATCGTGCTCACTGTAACCACAAACTACTGGGGTGCTAAATTGATCTTCCTGCCTTAGCCTCCCAAGTAGCTGGGACTATCAATGTGAGCCACTGCACCCTGTTGATATAAAACTTTTTGTGGAGATGAGAGTCTTCCTGTGTTGCCCAAGCTGCTGTTGAACTGACTTCAGCAATGTTCCTGCCTCAGCCTCCTAAAGGGCTGGGATTTTAGGCATGAGCCACTGTGTCCGGCCGCTACAAGCATTTTCTCTCGCAGAGTTCAATAGCAGACTTACAACCCTACTGAAAATATAAGTAGAGTCTTAAGCATTTGATTATTTAGGTTTAATAAATTACTAAAATTTAAAAAGAATAAGATGCTCAGTTCACCTGTGGGATTTTGACACTGATTCTCCCAGGTTCCTGCTTCACTATCTGGTCAGCCCCTCATGGCTCACTGATGGCTGTGGCGGAGGACAAGGAGCCCCCAGTGCACACCTATTCACACAGCTGCTGAGCTTTCAGCTACCAAATGATCCTTCTGCAAATGCCAATCCTTCCATCTACCTCTCTTTGCACAGAATCAGCGTGCATCTGATAGAATCAGCCTACCTCTGATGATAAGAGTTGCAGATGGAAAGGAATAATTCAGCCAGGCAAAGAGAGAGATATACTTCATTCAGAGAACCCAAGGAACGAGGAAGGAAGGTGACTGGTCCTACAAACATTGAGACTAGGCAGTTAATTATTCAGATTTTACATCTACAGCTTCTCCCTTCATTCATTTCTTCCACAGATTAGTTCTGGGGCTGATCAGTACGATGTTGCCTTTAGGACACTAGCACCCGTTTCTGGTAGATGGGAAAAGATGTATATGAAATCTTTATCTTGGTGAAAAAAGAGAGACACATTATTTGTCAGGAAGGGAGAGTAAAATAAGTGAGAATAATTAAGCGAGGTAATTTAGAACAATCGCCTAATTACCTAACCAAGTTTACCTCTCTAAGAGAGTATCTTCTTGTCTATATTCCCAGAAAAGCTTTCCTGCAAAATACAAGGTCTTGATATCTTTCCTGCAGCCTCTGGTTCAGGAGGAGCATGGGTCTCAGCCCCCTGGATTTATAAGGAGCTGCCGCGGTGAGCCCACTTTCCCTTGGAGGAAGGTTCTTAGACTTGTCAAGTCAGACTCCCTAGCTATCTAACTCCCGTCATCTTTTCACTCTGGACTTCAGATCATTTTTCACTTTCTCCTCCCACATTCTTATAGAGGAGGTTCAAATTCTATCAGGACACTGCTGGTTTAATTAGAGTCTCAGGCTGAAAACGCCATAATGCAGGGAGGAATAAAAAAAAAAAGAAAGAAAGAAAAACCCGCTGTGTGAATCATGTTCATAAAACTGCAGCTCCAGCGCCCCCTGCTGTAAATTCTGACAAACAGGCGGGTGAACTGCCTACATAGGGGAACCTAAGATGCTTCCTTGCCCTGTCCCAGGGAAACAGCCTGAAACAACAAAGGCGGCGGGAATCCAGGAGGAAGCTGATAAAATACGACATGAATGAGGAAAACTCGTCTCAAGAGAGAATACAGACTCCCCCCTGTGAAAAGTAAATGCTAAATTGACTGTCATTCAGAAGGGACTGTCTTTTGAGAACTCAAGGCAGCATTCATCTTTCTGTTCCCTATTCCACACTTTTTCTTGCTGCCTGGCTGGGTTTCATAAGCCTCCACTTTGAAAGAGCGCTACTGTAGGTGATCAGTTATACTTTAAATTTTGTTGGCTTTTTCAGGAAGCCTTTGCACAAGTACTAGTAGAAAGCAGATTAAAAGGACGGGGTTGGACGCTCAACGTGCAAGTTTAATGTAGGTGCTGTGGCTGCCCGTCAAGGTGAGAGTTTGTAAGGACCAGTAGCAAGATGTGAGCTCACACAGAGCCACAGGGACTCCTGTCCGGCTCCACTGATGGGCAGCGGTGCATCCTGTGTGTGTGCTGGGAGCAGCAGCGGAGCTGCTGACTTGGGACGGAGTTTTCTCTTGCAGGAGAATACCCCACGTCACCCCAATCAAGATGGTAGAGAAGTCTACTGTCATGTGTGCAGAAACAAAAACCTACAGCTAGTGATAGTCTCTGCTACAAGGACAGAAATCCCTCCAACTGAAGACATTTAGGCTCTAGGAAAGTCCACAGTTCAAAACAGCAAGAGGCCTCATTGCTTCAACTGAATGTGAGGCGAATCTGTTCTCTGTATTAGCTGTCTTCCTAAACAAAATTAACAAAAAAGCAATGGAGGCACATACCGAGGGGGAGGTTCCTAACAGCTGTCGAAGCTCACTGTGACTACGACTGAACAAGGCCAGCTGTGCTGACTACGTGATGCCCAGGGACTGGGAGACCGCAGATGTCTTCCTGTGGTGGGAGATCTAGGGTCACACGCTGTCCCCACTATCACACACAGAATGTTTAATGATACTAAACTTTACAAAAATAACTGATTGAGCATCACTCTTCAAACACTGCCATGGAAAAGTTACTACTCTCTGAATCGTCCCTACTTTCCATTAATCTTCAGCAATTCACTGAACACCGTGACATCTAAGAAGTCGACTTTTTCTCAGTTGTTTGTCCTGGAATGTAGTGATTTTCCTGGGAGTCACTGTAAGCATCACACCTGCTGTTAGTACCTCCGGCCCCTCCTGTGCCTTACTGCCTTCCCTGGCCTTGTGCTCCGCTCCCTGCTTTCAGGGTGGAGAGGCTCCAAGCTCGGTGAATGTTCAGGGCAGCACAGAAAAGAAGGTGAAGGGTCATGAGGTATCCTCAGCCCTGGCCCCGGGATGGGTAGGCTGGGGAAGAGGAGAAGGCAGAGGGCGTAGTCAAGCATCACAATTAATGACTCTGCTGGCCAGTGGATTACTAGCGACCAGTCTCTTGTGTTGAATCTGATTTTTGTACAGCTGCTAGAAAGAAAATAAAAAGGAAAAATAAAAAGAACCCAAAAAAATGAAAACCCCACCTGATACATTTCTCTCTGCTGTGTAAGAGCAACAAAGGAGGGATGACACGTGGGTACAAAAAGGGGGCAGGTGGCCCTGATCAGGGGAGCGGGAGAGGCAGGCAAGTGAAGAGACTCCAGGCAGGGCCCAGGGCTATATTCCAACAATTAACCAGAGACCGAGAGCATCAAAGAGGAAGTCTTGAATCTCCGTTATGCCAACTTATGACATAACATAAATCTAAAGTATTATTGAAAGGATTTGGGTCTATGTCCATATTTTAGTATGATATTTCATTAAACTTATTTTTATTTCCCTGACCATTAGCCATTTAAAGTAACGTTTTAATGGTAGTGTTTGAGGAATTATGTTCAACTATTTTTGTGAAGTTTAATGCCATTAAATGTTCTGTATGCGACAGAAATAGTGCTCTTCAAGTTTCCCCAAACTTATGGAAATTCTGGACTATTCTTTTCTTGGAAGTTCATCTTAGAAGAAGCTTAAGAGAGTTTCTAGAAAGGCATTTAATAGGTAAACTCCTTGAGGGTAGGGGCTGTGCTTATTCAAATCTTATCCTCAACAAGTGCCTGGCACAAAAGTATCACCAAAATTAATAGCATCAGTGGAATGGAATTACTATCTGTGAGGTAGCATGGGGCAGAGTGCTGGGTAAAGAGTCTAATCTGACTGGGAAAATTATGACAAGTTACTCAAACGCTTGGTAACTCAGTTTGCTCATCTGTGAAATGGGGATGATGACAGTACTCACCTAATGCATGAAATTATTAAGGATTAAATGAGTTCATATTTGTAATGTGCTTGGGACAACATCCAGCACAATATTATTTATAACAGGTGCTATATAAGTATTTGATAAATAAATGACCAATCTTAATTACAAGACTATGAATTTGTAACTGGAATGGTATTTTGTTCCATTTGGAGAGTTACGTTTATGGATGAATGATTGAGAACATCTCAATTCTTGTAGCTTTAATATTCTGTGTCCTCCAAATAGGTGACTAGCACATAGAAATCACAAAGTCATGTAGAATGTCTTCAGAATGGCCATAATGATAGGAAATACTGAAGATAATGAATGATTTCCATACAAATAACACATCTGCTTTGCTGCCAACTATGGACGGGGCTACAAATTAGAAGCTTTTTTTTTTTTATTTTTTCTTTCTTCATTGCTTCCCTAAAACATCCCTTTTTGTTCTAAGTCTTCAAAAAAACTTGTCTTTTTTTTAGAGACAGAGTCTCATTTTATTGCCCTTAGTAGAGTGCTGTGGCATCACAGCTCACAGCAACCTCCAACTCCTGGGCTTAGGCAATTCTCTTGCCTCAGCCTCCTGAGTAGCTGGGACTACAGGCAACCACCACACGCCAGGCAATAAATCTTATCTTGACCTAGGAAAAGAGTATTAATTTTCATGTTCACAAGCTATGATGTATCCCCAATTTCTTTTTTGTTGAGACAGAGTCTCACTCTGTCACCCTGGGTAGAGTGCCACAGTGTCATTGTAGCTCATGCCAATATCAAATTGTTGGGCCGAAGCAATCCTCTTGCCTCAGCCTCCCAAGTAGCTGGGACTATAGGTGCCCGCCATAACACCTAGCTAGTTTTTCTATTTTTAGTAGAGACAGGGTCTTTCTCTTGCTCAGGCTGGTCTTGAACTCCTGAGCTCAAGTGATCCACCTGCCTTGGCCTCCCAGAGAGTTAGGATTACAGGTGTGGGCCCTGTGCCCAGCCTGTTCCCCCAATTATTAACCTATGACTTATTTAAGAGTTATTCTTCATTGTTTTTGAGATTTTTCTTTTCTTCCTTAAAAAAGTTAGGAAGAGAACAAGAATTCTTAATCACAACAGCCTAGACAAGGACAATCTTGTTGGAAGATCTCTAAATTAATAAGAAGAAGAGCAAATATTTTCTTTAAAAAAGAGGAAGAATTATCAGTTCTAGGTTAACGATCCCTTATGATGAAGAAATTATTTTTAAATATGGCAAAACTTTTTTACAGACACAAGAAAAATTCAGGCTCAGAGTAGTCAGGCAGCGGGCCAAGAATGGAACATCAGGGCTGATCTCAGCTTCCGTCCTGTTCAGTCCCCCGACCAGCTACCTGAGTGTTCTGCTCTGTCCCTCCGTGACAGGACGTAGTCCCACTATAGAGTTGTACTAATTCTGAGAAGAACTAAATTAAGATCTCTTTTATAATGTGTTGGGGAAAACACTGTTTTACGCTCTTAAAAATAAATAAATGCATCTGATAAAATAATTTAGAGAGAAGAAAAGTGTATATAATAAAAAGTAGGTAAAATTCTCCCCTGATCTGTGGTTCTCCTCTGCACAGGAATCCTTGCTAACAGTTTCTTAGGAATAAATGCCTCAGACAATGTTACGCATATCCTACCATGTCTATAATAGACATTTCTGTGTGTGGGCAGGTGTATAATCTTACATGATTAGGGTCCTATCATAATACTGATCAGGATCTTAGCTTTTTCTTTTCGAATTCAGTGTAAATTTGTATGTCTTGCCATATCAGCATATACAGATTTCTCTCATTTTAAATAGCTGCATAATTGTTATGAATTTATCACCATTAATTTAATCAGGGCTTTGTTGATGATAATTTTTTAATTAATCTTTTTTGAACCTGTTGCTCTGGCTAGAGCACCATGGCATCATAGCTCACAGCAACCTCAAACTCTTGGGATCAAGCAATTCTCCTGCCTCAGCCTCCTGAGTAGCTGAGACTACAGGTGCCTGGCACATAGCCCAGCTATTTTTTTCTTTTTTTAGTAGAGATGATGTCTGACTCTTGCTCAGGCTGGTCTTGAACTTCTGAGCTCAGAGGTCCTCCTGCATCGGCCTCCTAGAGAGCTAGGATTAGAGGCGTGAGCCTGGTCTTATTGATAATTTTATATTATTCCTAATTTCTGAGAGTAGCTAATATCCTTGAAAAAAGAGAGGCATATTTGTGAGTAAACCTTTAGGTAAATTACTAAAATAAATATTATAGCTATATTTAATAATTTAATAGATACTGCAAAATTTCTCTCAAATTGTGCTAATTTAGATTCCTGATGAGATTCAGAGAAGTGATGCTTTTCCTATTAACTCACCAACTATAGTTATTTAATACTTCCCATAAACTTTAATACTTTGCATATCTGATAGGTAAAAAGTGGTTTTTCATTGTTTTGATTGCATTTCTTTCATTAGATAGAGGCTGAGGACCTTTCCATATTAATCAGCCCACTGAATTTATTTTACCGTGAACTGTCTAGTCATGTAATTTGTTCACTTTTCTATTAACTTATTTCTTCTTATTATTGTGACAAGAGTTTTGTAAATGAATGAAAGTGGCCATTGTTGCTGGTGTTGAACGTATCTTTCCCTCTATATCATTTGTCTTTACGACTTTGCTTATAGTTGTTCTTTTTTGAAATATTTTTTATGTTTTCAGGGATCCTGGGTGTTATATAATGCTCAGAAAGTAAAATTCGAAAATTACTTCCCCATTTGAAAATTACTATTCTTGTTTTAAGGAGTCAAATTCTTGTTTTTAGGAGTCAAATTTCCTAAATGCTCTTTTTCCCTCGGTTTTTTCACACTGAAATCTTTAGTCCATTCAGAGTTTACTTTGAAGACAGAGCAAGGTTGGTATCCACTCCTATTACTGTTGCCAAAGAGTTCCCCTAAGTGAGATCAATACCATTTATTGAATTATTTTTTAATTTCATGATTTCAAAAACCACCTTTAACGTATTTTAATTTCAATGAGTATTTGCATCTGCTTTTCAGACGCTATTCTGTTCCACTTATTTACGATTCTTTAGCATGAAACTCTCTTAATTATTAGTCTTTGTAATACTGGTCGTCCTCTCTTATCAATCTTCTGGGTTATTTTTTCTAGAGTAATTTTAGTACCATATGTCAGTCCTCTGTATTGACACCCCAACCCCAAATTATGTAAGTATTTCCACAAGGAGTTCATCAGCATCCATCTCTTTCTAGCCAGAGACACATATTTTGTCTCATGTTTTCCTTCCTGATCTAAGATCTCACGTATGGTAATTTCTGATTTGCCCCTATCAGAGAGGCAGGCCATAGGAACGATTTAACATCTGTAGACTTCAAAAATCAAGACCAAAGAGGAAACGCAAGTCAAGATGCTCAGTGTAAAAGCAAAACCTTGCAGTACTATGAAGAGATTTATTATGTGGACTTTGCTAACTTCAGTGAAAGTCATTAAGGCAAACAAAAAAGTAAGTCTTCAAAATTTTCTGCAGGACAGAATTTCAACCGCTGTCCTGGAATCTGTGAACAACTGGCTCAAGTGATGACATTACTCCTTCCATTTCTAACTAGGTTCACTCAGCCGTTCTCCCAATTATCAGGCTGGGCAGCAGAAGTGCAGAATCAACAGAAATGATCCTTTATGTTCTACTAAATATGAACATTGTTGATTCTTTAAAGAGCCGTCCAACGTTTTCACTGCGTAGACTACTTTCTATGTGGCACTGTTGATAAATACACGATCACTTAGATTGAAGGAGCAGAAGCTTTTTTTTTTTTCATTCCTATGAGAGCCAAGTTCACGAACTTACTGTCAGCATGTCGTCACACTTCATGTCTGGTGTGTCGCCATCTTCACTTTTATTGTAGAATTTTCTGAAAAAGTTGAAGGCCACCACAGTATACAGGTATACGACGACAGCTAACAAGCCGACCGTTAAGACGAGCTGGAAAGCAGAGTGACATTGAACTTGTATTAAAGATACAGCACACGTGACTGAAATGTGTGACTTCTGTGAGAACACAGCTGGATTCACTTACTAGAAGGATGCTAAGGGGGTCCCTAACTTTATTATTTCTTACTCTACTTAGCTCCCCTAGTAGAGAAACTTATTTTCAGGTTCTCTATATCAAGTTACCAGACTATTTCTGCAAAATTTGAATATGTAATTAGCTAACGAGTAGGTAGAGTATGAATTATGATTTAATTTCACATCCAAATTGACTTACTAATATTAATAAGCAGCCTAAAATGTCCATTTTTCTATCATCTGAATATTCGGTAGTAGATACTAATTAGATACTAATGAAGCAATTCTTCCCTTTTTATGAGGTCTATGTTCTTGTTCTTTCTTTTTTTTTTTTTTTTTTT